CGAGGATCTGCCTGCTCCGTCGCGCGCGGGGGGCTCTAGAGCCGAGGCGGCGGCCTCGGGTGGTGGCGCGACGCCGTTCTCAGCCAGCGCGGCCGCGGGTGCTGGTCGACTGCCTTGGCCGCTCGGGCGGCAAGGTGGCGGCGGGTGGAGGCTGCTGGACGCCGGGCTGCGGGGGCCCCCCATCCGGATCTGACGGCTTCGCCTCCAACGCTCAGATCCCCTCTCAGATCCGGTTTTCGGTCGTCCCTGGCTGATGGCGCCGTGTTTGAAGCTGGGGCTGGGGGCGGTGGAGTGCCCGGAGAAATCCAGGCCGACTCAGCCGGCCATGACGGCGGCGACGCCCGCGGGCGCCGTCCCCTACATGTAGGCGCCGTTTTGGTACTTCCCTCCCCCTCTTGCCTTTCTTCCCTGCTCGTTTCCGGGCGAAAGGCAAAATCCATCAGGATTGGGCGGCAGCGACGCCCGTGGCGCCGTCTCCTTCATGAAGGTGCCGCCTTGGGTGAGTTTTGGGGCGATGGCGAGTCTGCTCCGTTGGTAGGCGTTCGGCGGCTACATGGTTGGAGGCTGTTTAGGCTTCCTCCATTGCAGCTTTGTCATCAACAATCTCGCGCCGTGCATTTGCTTCTCCTCGTGTGCAGTTCCTCTCAGTGCCAAGGTTCTCCTTGTTGAGCCCGGCGCTGCATGTTGGCGGCGCTCTGGTTTGGTCTTTCCGGTGGCTTCGGTGGCCGTTAATCATCCTAGCTCTAGGGAGAGCGTTTCCATCTTCCGACGGATCGGCGCCTCGAGCCAGGCGAGGGGGCAGGGAGCCCCTTTCGGAGATGGAGAAGGGTGTATCCGTTTTGGCCGCAGCCCATGGAGCTGACAACGTGTTTCTTCCAATCTGCAAGCTGTGTCTTCTCAAGGCCTCCCTGGTGTCACTGAGCGATGGATTGCGATCGATGGAGGGCTTCACTCTCTTCAAGCTGCTCCTGGGCTTTAGTTTTTCTTCATCTTTGCTTGTAGGTGCGTTAAGCTAGCTAGTTGTTGCAGAGTACCATGTATCTCTTAGCTGTTTTTTTTCTTTTTCTGCTCCTGTAAGTGGGTTGTTGCTGTAATCCTGACCGGTTGATGGCTTTGTTAATTCAAAGCCGGGCTCGTCGTGAGCCTTCGTTCTAAAAAAAAAAGGCCGGGCACGGTCAAGTGAAGGATATATGCAGACTCGACTGAGAAGGTGCGGCAGGATTACCGGGGTCAATGCACATGAGGATCGATGCCGCCGGATCGATCGCATCGAGCTCGGCGGCGCCTTTAAATTCTTGGAGGATGTAAACAAGTTCGGTCATGGGCTGGCTGCTCGTTCAGTGAAGACCTAGGCATTGAAAATGTTGGAGGGTTCACAGTCAGTAATGGCGACGCAAGATGGGCAAAGATGCGAGAAGTTGACAACCTGGTTTAAGTGTCGGTTACGTGTCCGGCGACGAGTGAACTGCGGCACACATTGTGGCTTCAATATACTGCATCTGTGACTGGGTTCGATGGAACTGGAGCAGAGCAGACATTGGAAATATGGACCGATATGCCGCGGGCGGCGGAGGGTATCTGAACTTGGTTGTTCTGTTAAAAACTTAAAACATCTACTGATGTGTTATACTGATGCAAATATATTTCACCGCTCGCCGTGGTCGCATCCGCTCTGCGCCAAATGCAGGCAGCTGGCTTCTGGCTAGAAAGCGTGCGGGCGCGGGAAAAAGGTTTTTGATGGGCCAGATTAGTCAAAAGCGGACATGGCAACGGTTCGGACGGGCGCAACCCCCTTCCCTAGTTTGTCTCCGGTTTATGAATTATTATTTTTGCGTTTGGGCCGTCGAACGGACCAATGCAGGATCGCGTTGAATAACAAAACACGTCCGGACCTTATGGTCCGGACGGTTGAGGGTGGTTGAGGGTCGGCGTTGAAGATCCCCGAAACGACCAACTACAGGTTCTAGAGGTTTGTTGCATAAATTACCATTTATTGGTGTGATTCACTGCAGTTAGCTCGAATCCATCATTTGATTCGGTTGAGATGAATTCTGATGGATTGGCCCCACCTGTAAGTACACGCATGACAGAAAAAAGATTGCATAAGTCAACCAACCGAGATGAGCTCAAAATTTTCAAGACCAGTGTTGGGTACATGTATGATTTTCTTATTACTTATCCATTTTCTGAACCTTAAAATTCAAACAAAAAATTTGAATTCCAGAATTCAATAGCCAATGGGTACATGTTGTTTCAAAACTTTATTGAAAATCTTGTGAATTTGGTCAATTGGATCATACATGTACCAAGTATTGATCTGGGGCAATTGCAACTCATTTGCACCAGATTTTGGTATGTATTTGTGTTAGCATAAATCTTTAGAATTAATATGAACATGATCTTAATCTCGTGATTGGAACATATAAATAGTGTGGTAGTGGATATTGACCAGATTCAACTCAGGCCATTAGAAGGAGACCCATGTCTGTAGGTGTCAGGGTGGGCAGCGGAGATATAGACGGCAGTAGGGTTACCGTTGGCACCATGTGGTGGCTGACGATGGTAAACGACCTTCATCTCCTTTAGAACCTTATTAGCATCTGGTGTTAGAGAAGGACTTGGCCTCCCGTGTAAGATTGTTAATTTTCAATAGGAGGGGTCATTTTCCTTTTATACTATGTGCTAGGGAGGTGGGACCAAGATCAAGTCGTTGGTTTGGTGCCCCTGATACATGGGACGTTTAGCTCTGCCATTCTCAACCAAAGATCAACTTCATCAATCGGTAGTTTTAGTTGGCCAACTAATATGGTTAGTTTTTATAATTGCCATATGTGCACTTATTAGACTAGCTATAGTGGAGAGTAACTTCAAGAGAACATACACATTATTCTAGGCTATGTTACTACCTTCGTTGTGTGTATATAAAGTGTGGTGTCATGCAAAACTTCCTTCACTTCTTCTTCGGTACAACCCCCTTAAACACACTGACGGACCAAATTTACTCATACCCCTTCGTAAGAAAGGGTAGGATGGTCCTTTAACAAAATACATCACCCAGACTGTACCCAATAGGGAGTAGTAAACTGGGCCGGCCCAGCAGCAAACGATGATGTGTATTGGACTTGTAGTGAAACAGTGGGAAATCCTAAAAAAAATGCTTCCAGCTGGAATCAGTGTGGTGTCATGCAACAACTTCCTTTATTAGGTTATAGACTCATATTGTATTGGGATATGTGATGGTATGATAACAAGTTAAATTACTCAATGTGCCTCTCTTCTCATTAACTCGATGCAGCATAGGCAATTTTGTTGAGTTAGAGCTTATGTTACTCCTCAAGTTACTCCCACTATAGCCAGACTTACAAAGTGGGACCGAGCTGTGAAGAATCATGTCAACCGAGTCAAATGATAGATTAGAGCTTACTGTAACAAGCATGTATAGCAGGTGTTCTGCGCAAAACCAACCTTAATAGTTTTTTTTTTGAATATTAAGGAAAATATTAATGAGCGAGCCCAGGACATGAGAATGTTAAAGAAAATAATAATGGGTCCAGCCCAGGACGCGTTGGGGGCGTCTGTTAGCACAGAGTTGGGCTCTCCAAATGAACTAGCATACGGCGTATACATCACGGCAGACAACCCCTCATACATACAACAGTGGGATACGATATGTGAAATGTCTGTACTACCCTTTATACGTTTTAGAGGCGGGTTGTATCGAAGCGGGACTCAACTTCCTTTATTAGGTTATAGACTCATATTGTACTGGGATATGTGATGTTACAGTAACAAGTTAAATTACTCAATGTGCCTCTCGTCTCATTAACTCGATGCAACATAGGCAATTTTGTTGAGTTGGAGCTTATGTTACTCCTCAAGTTACTCCCACTATAGGCAGACTTACAAAGTGGGACCGAGCTGTGG